CCTACTGCCGTCTTCAACCGATCGCTCAGTTTATATGAATCTCGCCCATCTCTCGCTACCCACCAAACTCATTATGTATTCCTCAATTAATTATTTTCTTCAACCTTGAAGACGTAAACAAAGCCGTCCGGTATTTCAAAAAATTTAACTTTGTTTCCCCATTTCTCGACAATCGTCCGTTTTATCAAAGCAATAATTATTTTTTCGTTAGCAAACTTGTGTGTTTAAAAATTATTTGAAATCGGCTATTTCTTTTCTTTGTCGATTTCCAAATCCGACCCAATTCCATTGTTTATATTTTTGGTTTTACTTAAATTCGGTCCTCGGACGACAATGACCTTCAAATACCAACAGAGTCAGATTTTCAAAAACAAAATTATTCACTTCAAATTATTCTACATTCCTGTCTTTTTCAGGGACTTATAACAATTATGTGCGTTTCTGTTTATTTGAAAGAAAAATAAATTTCATTTTTTCCCTCGTTTCATATTTTATTTTCTGATTATCACTTTAACGTTTTCTTGTTTAACTTTTTCAACTCTTCCAATGCGCCAATTCTATTCGAGGTTTTCGCATGAACCTTTAATTCTAATTCCAAACCACCAGAGTCAAGAGGGGAAGTTGGTCCACTCGAATCGGTCTTGAACCTTTATAAGCATGCTATTCGTCTGGGCATTGAATACTGTCGCCATATCTAGTTCGGTGCTTCTTATATATATATATATATATATAGGAAATCTTCAATGTTATAGGTCCTGACCTGGCATCTTGGCGCCAATCATTTTCCCGTCGCTGTAAAGTAGGTTCTCTCTACCCTTTTTATAAATATTTTCATGGCAATTGTTCTGATCAGCTTGCCATTTTCATCCCGCGATTTGATGATTCTAAACCCGTTACTAGATTGGCTGCTAGGTCTTATCATCTTACAGCTGAAATTGCAAAATGGAACCGCAAAGTCTATTCGAAAGTTTCTTCTCTTTTATTCTTCACATATGAAATTCTCTTCCAGCCGCTTGCTTTCAGATCAACTACGATATTTCAAAAATAAAATACCTTTAATCGTCATCTTCACTGTTCGTGAATCCTGTTATATTTTGATTGTTCTCAGTAATGTTTTTCTCTGTTTCCTTCACACTCAGTAATAACATGTCTTACTTTCTTTATAGCCTTTTTTGGGATGAAATGATCAAAATCTTTCTTTCTCCCTTTTTGTATCTCCTTCTCTCTCTCTCTCTCTCTCCACATATATATATATATATATATATATATATATATAATGCAACAGAGAAATCCAAAATTACCTCATGGGTATAGTCTACTTCAGCTGACGCCTAGTGCGACAGTCTTGTTCAACCCAGACAGATGGACTCTTGTTCGACCCAGGCAGATGGACGCTTATTCAACCCGGACATATGGACTCTTGTTCAACCCAGACAGATGGCCTCTTGCTCAACCCAGATAGATGGACTCTTGTTCAACCCAGACAGATGGACTTTTGTTCAACCCAGGCAGATGGACGCATCTGTCTCGGTTGAACAAGGCGAACGTGCTCGGCGTCAGCTGTAATAGACTTTAACCATGAGGTAATTTGGAATTTCTCTGTTGTGTAATTTATTTGCTCTGTTATAATAAATACATTGAGCTCTGTTTGTGGATCAGTTTTAATATTTTATATTATTAGGACCCACTTGGATTATATACCATTGGATCTTTTACCTTCTCTCTCTCTCTCTCTCTCTCTCTATATATATATATATATATATATATATATATATATACGGTGTATGGAAGATACTTTTACAGATTTTGGGGACTCGTTCCTCACACCAAAAACCAGGAAAAAGTCTATATAAACATACGACCACAAATGCGTCGTTTTTGAATTATTAAGTTAAAAAAAATATAACGGTAGCTGGCACTGTGTTGTCTAGACTAGGTTACATTTGTTATTCGTTTACTTTTGTGTCTAGTATGTCTTCAAAGTTTAACCTGTGTAGTAGTGAGTTAACTGAGAAGTGTTCCGTTTCACAATGGCAGAATATTCATATCATTAGTGAGCAGGCAGCTATGATTTTTATATTCGGTCATGCAAATGTTAATGGCAGTGGACTCGAGGTTGCACGGCTGTATCAGGTTTCGTTTCCAGACCGAAGACAGACGAGTTATCCAACATTTACAGCTTTTTATCGTCGCGTTACTAATACAGGATCCATGGCACCACAAACTATGGATCAAGGAAGGTCGAGATCCGCTCGTACACCTGACCACGAAGAAGATCCACGTATCAGCACACGTCATGGGTCGTATAACTCATAGTACCGCAAGAGGAGCAACTGCATCTGTACCGTTTGCAACGTCGCCTCTGATCACTCAAACAGAAGAACTTTTTATCTCTCTCTTTCTCTCTCTCTCTCTCGCTCAGGCCAAGAGTTGGACCGTTTTTATAACATTTGGACACCCACCCAAATATATGTGACTACACCTTCTTCCGGTAAGTTGCCTGTGCAACTTCTTGTAGCCACGCTTCTTCCGGCTATGTGCCGACGTAACTTTGTGTGGCCACGCCTCTTCCGATATATGCCGCGAAAGCACGCATTTCCTTCCGTTTTAGGACACCTTTGCATCCTACAATTAACAAATTCTATGGATCGTCGACTTCTTCAAGTAATTTCAAAATAGGGAAAGCACATTCCCTATTGATTTGTTTAAAACTGTGCCTTTGTTTGTAGTTGTTATTATTTGCTTGATTATCTCATTTATTAGCTTCTTTTGATCATACACATTCACGTGAAACATTAATAAACGTTTCGTTTGCTCAATTCTGGGAATTTTACTAAACCTTTCTCATAATATGGCACGCTCAAATCGCCGTGCTGATAGCAAATATGGCGCCAGTTTGTTTACATTGCACAGATCAGTACGAAAATTTCCGTGATTGCGCAGGTCAGAGTTGCCAACACTGTGTGAAAATTTTGAGTGAATTGATCAGACGGTTTTTGAAATATTAGAAAAAAATTATCTCGATAATAATTTGGCACGCAGTGTAGACAGTGTCAACACAGTGTTGATATAGACAGAGTCAACATAGACAGTGTTGATATAGGCAGTGTCAAATAGACAGTGTTGATATAGACAGTGTCAGTATAGACAGTGTCAACATAGGCTGTGACAATATAGACAGTGTCGTATAGACAGTGTCGTATAGACAGTGTCGCTATAGACAATGTTGACATACATCGTGTCAACATAGACAGTGTCGGTATAGACAGTGTCAATATAGACAGTGTCAACATAGTGTCAATATAGACAGTGTCGATATACACAGTGTCAAGATAGATAGTGTCAACATAGTATCGGTATAGATAGTGTCAATATATACTGTGCCGATATAGACAGTGTCAACATAGACAGTGTTGATATACACAGTGTCGACATAGACAGTGCCGGTATAGACAGTGTCAATATAGACAGTGTCAACATAGTGTCGATATAGACAGTGTTGATATAGACAGTGTTGATATAGACAGTTTCAACATAGACAAATTTGAACGTTACACTTTAAAGATGTAAAAAGAATATATTTTGCATAAAACATTTACTTTTATCATAAAAAATTATCCTTTTACTTAACGCGCTGAACTGCGAACATTAAAGTCAGATCAAAATTTGACTAAAATCTACGTGTAAGGCTGCGGACTATTTGATATAGTCTCGTATCGACATAGACGGAGATAACACGTAAATGCCTGTAGATAAATCATACACAGTAATGAATAATCAATGTATTAGAAAAGATCTGAATATTCAAAAATATTCATTTCATATTTTATCATCTTGAAAATCACGTCACGTTTTATTTAAATTTCTCTAGTGATAAAATCCAGATATTTGAATTTTTTAATAACTTATTCTCTCCATATATTTAACGAACTTTTAAAAAGATGACCCGGTGAAGTAATGGATAGGGACTCGGATTGAGGAATCGGAGAGCCGAGTTCGAATTCCAGTCAGATCCATAAAAATGCTAATACCCTTAAGAAAGGTATGAATCTTCTTCTCCCCCACCCAGCTATGGATAAATAGCAGAACAGACCAGGTTCTGTACCTTTGGATGGCAACTGGTCTACCACAGAAAGAAATGCCAACCTACTGCGGGAAAAAATCTGCCTCGCCAGACATGTATCGAAAGATACATGATCACCTAAGCGTGTATCACGCATGGCATATAACAGAACGTCATATTTAGTTCGCATAATAATCGAGGATTAATGTTGGCTTTAAGGAAGAAAGAATACATCATCAAGGGTAGCATCAAGTATAAAAGACGCCCGCCACCCACGACATAGTGATGGCTACAGCGATTCTTGTTGACAGTGTAACCAATAAGGCTTTGATTAGAATTAGCAGGAAAGCTACGATTGTTAGGAGCCTAGCCTCAGATGATGGCGTTTTTCATGTGGAATCAGGGTTTTTTGATTTGGGACATTTGAAAGAAGAATCTGTCTTTATTGTTTCTGTTGGAGATGGGACTGTGAATCATGGATTTGTTGAAGGTAACGCCGATGAGAATGTGTCAAGTGACAGCGGCCTTTCCTCGGTGGACAACCGGGAAGGAATGAAAAGGCGGAGAACTCTTCGCTAATGGTCATCAATCCTTTGGAAGAACAAAGGAAAGGATTGCCTTTTACCAATCAACGTACTGAAGACGGTGAAAAAAGTTGAAATAAGATCCAGATATTTGAATTTTTTATAATCTATTCTCCACATACCGTTAACCAACTTTTAAAAGGACACGTTCAGTTTCGAATGAAGAAAAAGTACGTTTATCTCATGTTGACACTTAAGAATCAGGCTAAATATACATTTAGCTTGCATAATGATTAAGGATAGATAAGTTAGCTTTTTGTGTAAAAGAGTAGACAGTGTTGTATAAAAATATAGACGACATAATCATGGCAGCAGTAAACTTTCTTGACAGTATATCTAGAAAATCTTCAGTTATGAGTAACAGGAAAGCGTCGTTTGTTAACAGCCTAACCACGGATAAGGGACCATTCGATGTGGGTTCTATGAAATCAGGTTCTTTTGATTTGGGAAAAAAGAATAGAAGATATTCCCGGATAATTTCTGTTGGGGATGGGTCTGTGAACGCTGGATATGTTGAAGATAGCACCGAGAAAAATGTGTCCGGCGACTTCGGGCTTCTTCGGAGGGACATGATTCCCGATGGACAGCCGGAGAGGAGTGAAGTGGTGGATAATAAGTTTTAAGCACTAGAAGTACAAATACAGCCCACACCTAGCGAAGGGTTTTATCTATGTAAAATGTGTGGGATCTTAGGTTTTTTTTTCTTAAAATAGGGTTAAGGAACAAGACCATGATGGTATATAAAAATACTTAAGAATTAATAAAGGAGACGGAATACAATATTCAATGATGAAGAAAAAGATCCGAAAAGAATATTATATGAGAGCGCGTTTGATACTAGAAAGTAAACTTAATGGTGGGGGGGGGATAAAATTCAAGGCCACCAAAACCTTAGCTATACCCGTAGTAACATACAGATTCAACATTAAAAAATGGATGTTGAATGACATTAAATGATTGGACGCCAAGATCATAAAAATGCTTACCCAAATGAGCACGCACCACCAGAAACCAGATGTTGATAGGCTGTACGTACCAAGTTTTAATTTTAAAAGGAAAAAAAAATATGCCTGAGGATGAATAAAGGATTATTCGAAACTACTGGTATTTTAAAAAAAATATAAAGTGGAAACAACCGACAACAGTTTTATAAATGAGGATCACATCGTATTCTAAGGGAGAAGTAAGAAAATATAAAATTACGCAAGAGCATAAGAATTTTATGTCCGAATTAATTGAAAACTCTCCTAGCGTCATTCTTTAAGACATTGTAAATAAGTTGGTCGAAAAGTATGAGGTTCGTGTGACAAAAGAATGCATAAGAAAGCACTTGGACTCCATGACCTTTATTTTAAAAGCGGTTCATTATGAACCAGAAGCTGCCAATAATAATGTCAATAAGGCGAAACGTAAGGATTATGCAGCAGCTTTATTAGAATTTCAATCCCAAAGTGTGCCAAGTCTTTATATGGATGAAACCAATTTTAATCTCCATATTTCAAGAAGAGAAGGTCGCTCTAAAAAAGGCATGAGGTGCACTACAGTCGCGGCCGGAAATAACATCCATGTTATTGGATGTATTAATAATAATGGATTAATTCATAAAATTAAAAGAGGTTTTTTCAAAAAAGAAGATGCGAAAGAATGGACCAAGTAGTGCCTTAGAAAAGCAAATGAAATTTATGAAAGGGGAGTTGTCTTAGTTATTGATAATGCTCCTTGCCATACTTCAATTGAAGAAGTTGTGGAAGAGGATGAATTTAGGCAACACCAAATTTTCAGACTTGCCCCCTATAGTCCGATGTTAAATCCCATTGAAAACGTTTGGTCAGTCATTAAAGCTGACATAAAAAGAAGACAGACTCAATTGTTGGGATTTTAAGAGGTGATGGCCAGGGATCTTTAACTACTAAAGAATTCAGCCTCAGCAAGTTATCAAGTCATCCCATAAGTTTTGTCCAAATTTTGAATAAAGAAAACAAGTGACCAAATGTTACATTTAATTACAGATTCAATCAACAATGTATTTTCCCTGATTATCTATGACTTCCTTCCATCTATTAACAAGCTTACTAACTCCATTACTGTACAATTCTTTTGGCTTTGATTCGAAGAACTCACAAATGTCAGTTTTAACCTCTTCCTGTGTTACAAAGGCTGTTTCTTTCAAATGATTCTGTAAGCTACGAAACAAATGGTAGTCTGAAGGAGCAAGACCGGGAGAATAAGGTGGATGAGGAATTTTCTCCCAACCAAGTTCTTTTGTGACATGATTCTTGCTGTGTGGGGTCGCGCATTGTCCTGATGAAACATCACCTCTTTTCGATTCACTAGAGCAGGTCATTTTTTTCCTCAAAGCTTGGTGCAAACGCTCTAATTGCTGACAGTATATTTGAGCATTAATTGTTGCATTAGGTGGTAAGAGTGGATTATTCCTTGGCGATCCTACCAGATGGAAAGATGAACCTTTTGCCCATGAAGTTCCCTTCTCGGCTGTGGCTGGGGTCCTTCCCCTTTACCAAGCCACTGTCTACGACGCTTAACATTTCGATAAAAGATCCATTTTTCGTCACCAGTCACAAGTCTATCCAAAAAAGGTGAAACAAGTTGGCGACAATGGAGAGAAGAGCAGATGTCAACTCGGGATTTGAGGTTGTTTTCAGACAATTCATGAGGCACCCATTTTCCAAGTTTAGGAACTTTTCCAAATTGTTGAAGATGACGATGAACAGTTGTATGGTTTGAACTGAGAACCACTGCCAATTCCTCAACTGATAAAGGAGGATTTTCTTCAACGGCTGCTTCAAGAAGCTTTTCATCAAACTCAACTGGACATCCGGTTCGATCTTCATCTTCAAGGGTGAAATCTCCACCTCTGAATTTTGCAAACCATCTTCTGCAAGTTCTTTCATTCACACATTCCTCTCCATAAACTGAGTGAATGTTTCTAGCCGCTTCGGCTGCTGAGTTTCTTTTCTTGAACTCATAAAGCATTATGTGCCTCAAATGATTCTTGGGTACTTCCATGTTAGCAGGGTTTTAATCAAACAAAATTTAATTTTATTGTTCTCTGAAATAAAATTAGACATTATAAAATACTCTTTAAATTTCGTTCACTTTAACAAAAAGTTAAAATTCGGACAGAAATTATGGGATGACTTGATAGAAGCGATGATCTCCGAAGCGATTAATAATATTTCCCCTGATACTTGCACTAACTTCGTATCTGGAATACAGAGATTACTTACCTCTGTAATTAACTTAGATGATGTAATCTTTTAAATAAATTTCTTAGGAACGTTTATATTTTTTTATATCCCTTTTAAGGAAAAATAAAAGAATAAATATTAAATTTATTAGTATTATATTAATTCTCAATTTGAAGTTGATTAATCCAATTTGAAGTTGATTATTTCTCATTTTGAAGTTGTTTTCCATTTTGAAGTTGATTAATCAATTTTGAAGTTGATTACTCCATTTTGAAGTTGATTGATCCATTTTGAAGTTGATTAATCCATTTTGGAGTTGATTAATTTTTTACCTCAAAATAAGTCCATTTTAGGCATGTCTGATTAAATAAATTACAGATATATATTATATATATATATATATATATATATATATATATATATATATATATGGGTGATGGGTAATAGGATATGAGTATCTTTGGATAAATAAAACATGCTTAATAATAAATAAATAAAGACTTTCAGGTTTTGTGAGGATTTTTAAAAATCACATCACGTTTTATTGACATCACAGCGATGATATGATTCAGATATTTGAGAGAGTTGATTGTAAATTATTCTTTTAAATAAGGTTAAGCAACGTTTAATACGGCACGTTTGTGTTTTTTTTATAAATAAATTTCTTTTAGTGACAAAGCGAAACTTAATATTAAGACTCAATATGCAATGAACATAAGAAGTTGTTTTTTTGTTTAAGAAAACAACCCAGGGTAACAACAAAGGTAAAAGTCTTCAACCGACTACAGAATTATGGCTACAACCTTTGTTGGTGACAGTATATCGTCCAAGACTTCGATTAGAATTAGCAGGAAAGCTTCTATTGTTAGTAACCTATCCACAGATAGAAGCGACTTCCATGTCAAATCAGGGTCTATTGATTTAGGACAAGTAAAAGATGGATCTGTTTATATTGTTTCTGTTAGGGAGGGGTTTGTAAATCCTAGTTTTGTTGATGGTAGCGCCGATGAGAATGTGTCCCATGACGTCGGCCTTCATCGGACAGACAGGTTATCCGATTGTCAGCAGGGAAAGAATGAAAAAGTGGGTAACATTTCATTGATGGTGATCGGGCCTTTAGAAGAACCCGTGACTGGTTGTCCTTTTAACACACAACGTACTGAATCGTGCGAAGCAAAGAACGAATCTGTTTCAGCAGGACAAAGAGGGCAAGACAAGATGTAAGTATTAGAAAACCCTTTCTATACAGTACAATCTATCTATCTATCTATCTATCTATCTATCTATCTATCTATCGAAATCTGTTTATTTGTTTGTGTTCATTTATATCTATATGTGTTCATATCTATCTATCTAAATGTGTTCATTTCTATCTATCTATCTATCTATCTATCTATCTATCTAAGTTTATTCATATCTATCTGAATCTGCTCATATCTATCTACCTATCTATCGAAATGTGTTTATTTCCTTCTATCTATCTATCTATCTATCTATCTATCTATCTATCTATCTATCTATCTATCTATCAGTGTTCATTTCTATCTATCTATCTATCTATCTATCTATCTATCTATCTATCTATGTTCATTTCTATCTATCTATCTATCTATCTATCTATCTATCTATCTATCTATCTATCTATCTGATGATGGCCTTATTTGTTAATGTGTATTTTTTTCTTCCAAAGCCGAATTCCTTCCGACAAAGATAAACCGTTCGATGCTTCTAAAATCTCTGATACTACCAAATTATCGATTAGAGACTACCTGATGGCCGTGTCGCTGTTTTTAATTACTCTTATCACTTACGGAAATGTGGGTTCCCTGTCTGTGTTGACAGTGGAATGGTTAAAAATATTTCCAAATTCAAAATCCCTAATTTTATTCGTCCCAAATTTGAACTATGCTTTGATGAGTGGAATCGGTAAGTTCTCGGAGAATTCCTTGCTTTTTCTTTCCTGTATTTCCATTGTAAAAAAAACTTGAATTTTCAATTTAGGGCATTCAGCAAAGGACGATTAAACACAACGTTTTAAAAAAAGGGTCTCTTTCGAAAGTCGTTCTCTGTGAGAAGCCTTCTCAAAGTGTTGATCATCTCTTCGGGAAAGTTAACACCTTTAAATCAATAAAACTTGTTTTATAAAACTTTTTAACTGATAATTTCGTTTTGGTAATCAGCTTGTATTTTTTTCAGCTATGATTGTTTAGATTTCTCCTGCAAAGAAGAAGCAAAAAACTTTATTCTTGAGATTGGAAATGATTTGGAAAAGGATTCTCAATGAATGATTGATTGGTTTGTCTATAATGATTCATTATTCCTTTAAGATTTATTTAAAGCTGAATTCTATTTTGGGGTCCTAAGAATAATTATTTTCTTGGGAGTGAATGTTGCATCAACGGCATTTTGAGAATAGCAGTGATTTTTCAAGATAGATCTTACTATACTATTTATATTATTCGGACTATTGTCCTCATCTTTCTCGACATATTTATTACAACATTTCCGCCGTTGTACGCTCCGGCCTTCTTCAGGTGGTTGGACTATCGAATTGAACCCTTTATTTCGCTCACTGGGATAGACTGTTCTAGTTCTATATGCCATGTCTAATGGATGCCAGTTATCAGTTATCTCCTGTTAATTCACCTCTCCACGTTCTCCACTGCCTTAAACAGGTATTGAACTCACACTCTTTGGGCCCGTTCACTGGATCTAACTAACGCCTTTATTCACTATGCCATGTGTCGACACATGTCACACTGGATAAAGGCGTTAGTTATCTAGATAGATATGAGAAGATTGAGATAGAGATAAATAGACTTAGGTAGATAGCTGGTCTAACTAACGCCTTTATCCACTGTGCCATGTACATTAACACGAGGTAAATGATATCCATTAGACATGGCACGTGGAACTAGAACAGTCTACCCCAGTGAGCGAAATAAAGGGTTCAGTTCGACATTCCAACCACCTGAAGAAGGCCGGAGCGTACAATGGTCGAAACGTTGTCGGCTCAGGAGAGTGTACATAATAGCTCATCTCAGAAATATAGACAGATATCATTCATAATTTAGAAAAAAACAGATGGTCAAACATAATAGGTATATATTATCTATAATTTACCGTAAAACATCTTTAAATAGACAATTGCTGCCTACTTAAACTAATTCTTTCTAATGTCTGAATTCACAACAACAACATTTGCGAGTCTCATGTTACATTAGAAAAAATATCAGTAAATTTAATAGGCATAAAACGTCTATCGTTTTTAGCAGTATACTCACATACATATACATACATACATATATATATATATATATATATATATATATATATATATATATATATATACATATATTGCCTCAAACGTCATTGCAGTTGGCACTTCTTTACTTGAAATAGGCTCCCTATTTTTATTTAATATAAAGTGTGTACTACGTCTATCAGCTTACGCAATCTAGAAATCCGAGTAAAAAAATTGCTTTCTTCAGCAGAAATCGAACCTGTGTCCCTATTTTACTGTGGGAAACTCTTTACCGATATAGGATTTTGAATATTCAAAAGGTTACACGACAAAAAATATTCAATATTTCCGGTATAAGTGGGAGGTGAGAAATTTTTTCATGTGAGAGGGGGTTATGGTGTAAACATGTCTGTGGGGCTCCTGAACTAATGGAATCATGTAACAGAATCCATGGCAAGTGGATGAGGTTCTTCAGACAAAACGTTTCAGCTTTGGCTTGAGGCAATCGGATGTCTTACACTACATATATATATATATATATATATATATATATATATATATATATATACATATATATATATATATATATATATATATATATATATATATGTGTGTGTGTGTGTTGTGTGTGTGTGTGCAAAAATATAGAAAATAGGAAAGAACTCGTTAGGTAAATAATCCAAAGTTCTTTAGTATTGTTGTTATTATTTTTAAAAAACAGTGCTCGATACAAAGTAGAGCGTAAATATTATTATTTATTCAAAAATATGATTCCATCGTTACATAAGAGTTCTCATGTTTCAAAACAAGAGCCGAAAACTTCAATATAATTATTTGAATTAAATTGAATTAAAGTGCCAAGCTCTGTTCCATCTTCAAGCGAAATTTTTGGGGAATAACTAATTCTTGAAATTTACGCGTTTTTATAAGCATATTCATTATTAAAATTAAAATTACTATGGTAACGGCTAGAGCAATTATTTAAAAAAAAGTGGCGTTAATAATTTGTATCAATATCTCAGTTACATTCAAAGAGGTCAAGTCAGGGTAAGGTTGGGGTGTCTAAATTCAAAGCGGAATAAATAAATATAAATAAATAAATATAAATAATTGCTCTAGCCGTTACCATAGTAATTTTAATTTTAATAATGAAATAATTCAATTTAATTCAAATAATTATATTGATGTTTTCGGCTCTTGTTTTGAAACATGAGAACTCTTATGTAGCGATGGAATCATATTTTTAAATAAATAATTATATAATAATAATAATGGACTCTCTTGTCGGTTTCGACGTATGAGGATCTGCCAGCTTATTGATTCAGTTATGAAAGTTTATGCGCTAATCTTAAGTGGAATTTAAGACCCGCTAGTGATTTACAAAGGAGGCCACATATGGAGCAAGTGTGAGGATTGTGAGATGAAATCACTGTTAGATTGGTTGACTTTTTAGATCTTGCTCTCGCTTCTTAAAGATGATTCAGAAAAGCAGATTGAAAACTGCTGAGTCCACTAAAACACGTTGATCTCCATTCTACTTGCTCCAAAGCTAAGCGCTCAAGTGTGTTATGTGGTATATTAACTGCTGACAGTTTGCTTTTCAGCTTGTCTTTGTATCTTAGCCATGGGTGTCCTACATTCCTATAGCCTTGATCTAACTGGCTGTACATTAGGATCTTGGGTATCCTGTCATCAGACATTCTCAAAACATGACCAGTCCACCGTAACTGAGACTGTATGATAAAAATCTCGATTCCTCCAATATTACACCTGTTAAACAGGTCTATGTTAGATGTCCTATCTTGAAGCTTAACTCCACAGATTGCACGCAAACAGCTTTTATGGAAAACATCTAGCTGGCGTATATGGTACCTGTATGGAGTCCATGACTGAGCCATACAAAAGGATGGCAAGTACAACAGATATGTAAACCCGTATTTTCGTATCCAGTCGAATACCCCGCTCATTCCACAAGCGATGGCGAAGTTTGTCTAAAGCATTGGTAGCCTTAGCAATCCGATGCATGATTTCATCATCTAAAGTTCCACTTTAATTGACTTTGCTACCAAGACAGGTGAAAGACTTCACAGAGTTCAGGGGTTTTTCGTCTACTCTCAATGGTCTGTCTGGAAATTTGTAGACTGATGGTTTTTGTTTCTCACCACGCATTTGCTTCGGAGTAGGACAAGGTTGGTGCACTACTTCAGTTTTCTTTATGCTAAGTGTAAGACCAAATGCTTTACATGCAGCAGAGAAACGATTTATTAGATGTTGGGCCTCATCAAAGGATGTCGCTACAAGTAATTATATATATATATATATATATATATATATATATATATATATATATATATATATATATATAGTGTAAGCGAAAAATGAGGACCCGAAAAGGTTTTACCTTGAAATTGAAATATCCTCGACAAAGAATATAAAGCAACTTTTTTTTCTCAGAAGTCCTGAAAGAACGAGAAAATATACCTAATGGCCTGAGAGATTACCTACGTCCTACATAAAACAAATGAAACAGGAAACGCCAAAAATTACATGCTTTTTTATATATGGAAAGACAATCCCGCTAATAACATCGATATCGTTATCCAACTCAGTACAGTTAGGTCATAATGGCGTTCTTCTTTGATTTCTTCGTTTGTGTCGAGAAATCATTCTCCCATTTCAGCAATCAAGTTTAAAAGGTCATATCAATTTGGTCTGAGTTGACGTGTTGGGTGACCGTTTACGAAATAGTTCAATAGTCTAGTTAAGTGACCTGGAATACGTATGAGACAAACTTTCTTTAGGTCACGTTTTCTGGGCCTCTTTTCATGTGGAACAAGCAATGTTACTTCTAGAAGAGGCTCCATGTGGGTCCACACCAGTTCACACCGGGATTGATAAGGCAGATAACTGATATCTTCGTCTGTCGAAATAGGCATTTCCTCATATGAGGTAATTTTTGAAATTATTTTTTATTAATTATTTGCTCTGTAATAATAAATACATGGAGCTCTTTTTGTAGATAAGTTTTAATATTTTATTATATTACTTGTATTCATTTGGATTATAAGCAAATAGATTTGGCACCTTCACCATATATATATATATATATATATATATATATATATATATATATATATATATATATATATATATATATATATATAACTCAATAGGATTTGTGTATACGGAATAAATTCCAATAACCAACAAATACTATTCTTAAAAGAGTGTTCAATAGGGAGTAGTGCAAATATAATTCTTTATTCGAAAATTATAACATAAATATGTTATAAAATCACTACAAAAATATTCATTTTGTTTCAGTACTTCTGGTGTCTTATCAAGTGATGGTGTTGATTGTAGAATAATGGACTCTCACTCTTGCTCCATATGTGTCCTCCTTTG